AATTTAATAGTAGTTATTGAACTATAAATTAGACTTTATTCCTTGTGTGAACGATACTTTTAACTCATAAATTTTATTACTTTTACAACGATCCCGTACGCTTTCGGGTTTCGTGCGAACAAATTTTTGGAGGCAAGATATGGTTTTTTTTTCAATGTTTTGGCCAAATTTTGTATTTATGGAAGTTCAAAAATCAAGCCAAATGCGTGTAGAATTCCCATCAAATTAAAATTCTGATCTGTCATCCCAGAATCTGAACCAAATCCGTGTAATATTTAAATAAGAAATTACAAAAAACCAGGTCTTTAAAGATTGATTTTCAAAAATCAGATTGAAAGTTTAATTATTCAAAAATAAGGTAATAATTTTATATTTTAATAAATATATTAATATTAAAAGCCCATCTCTCTCTCTCTCTCTCTCTCTCTCTCTCTCTCTCACATCTCCATGTAAGCAGCGAGCGGTGCTGTTGTCCGTCGAAAAATTCGGTGAATGACATATCCCTCGCCGTTGCTACAGCGGCATCGTCACTGCTGTGCTGCGCCCTCGCAGATGGCGATGTGAGTCTCGACAGCGACATCACCTTTTTTTCCTCTTCTGCATCTGTTTCTGGTTGTTATGGTTGTGTTTGGTGGCGAATCTTGTGGTTGCGGTGAGGTGTGGTCACAGTGATGGAGGTGATGGTGGTCGTGCCAGATCTATTGGTCGCGGTGATGGTAGCGGGATCTGATTTGGATCTTATTTGTTTGTTGGAAATGGTAGTTGTGGTGGTAGCTGAATATGGTGGAGGTGGCGACGATGCTGTGAGGTGATGGCAATTTGTGGAGTGTTGGCTGATAGTGGTTGATTGAAGTTGCAGGTGGATGTGGTGTGTGGTGTTTGGAGCAGGCATTTGTGGGTGGTGGCGGCGGTAGTCGTTTTCGGCGGCGACGGTGGTGCGTTTCTGTTGTTGGTGATGGTGGTGCGTGTTTCTGTGGTGGTGGTGGTGGGTTGGTGGCGGCGGCGACGATGTTGTGTTGTTGGTGGGGGCGGTGGTAGGATAACGTTTGTGACCAATTATTTGGTTAATGTGTGATCAAGTATTGGTGGATCGAGCTCGGGGATAGGTTGTTTAGTGTTTGTGACCAACTATTTAATTTATTGTGACTAACCATTAAACTGCGACCTTAAAATTCAATAATTTATGACCAACAAATTTGAAAATATGTGACCGATAGATAAAATATGACCTATAATTTTTTTGATCTGTGACTAATGAAA